TTAAAAACAATGTTTTTTATTTGAGTTTGGGTTTGACCAATTCGTAAAAAAAAAAAAAAAAAAAACTAATTAAGACATGCGTGTCCGTCAACTTTAAACAATAATCTTTGTCAATTTTATTTTTCAGTCTTTATGATGGTCGATACTTGATCTATCTCTTACTGTTACACCCCCGGGCAACGCCGGGCTCTACTGCTAGTATATATATATATATAATGTAAATCTATTTAAACTCGGTGGGTGAAAAAACCTGGATGGCACAATTTTCAAATAAATTGGCATCCGATGAAAAATGGAAAAAAAAAGAAAGCACCAGAAACTTCCGAAGAGGACGAAAGAAATTGTCCAGGACCTTAAATTTCTGCTACAAAGAAAAAAAAAACCCAGCGAGTAATAATTTGAAACGAAGAGTGTTCAATACGCTAAAAAGTGAGGAAAAAAACAAAATAAATAAATCTTAATGGGACCAATTACTAATACTGATGATCCCAAATGGAAACCTAGGTGGTAATACTTGACTCATTAAATTTATCATATATAAAGGTTATATATATATATATATATATATATATATATATATAATTATTTTTATAAAAAATTTATAACATAAATATTTATATTTCATATTTCATAAATATTCATATTTCATAAATAAATAACATAAATATTTATATTTCATATTTTTTTTATATTTGATATTTCATAAATATTTATATTTGATATTTCATATTTATGTTATAAATATTTTTAAATTTAAAAAAAAATTTTTTTTTAATTTATTTTTTTTTATTTTAAAAAAAAAATTTTATTTATAAAAATAATTATATCTGCCTACTTTGTATTGAGCCCTCTTTTAGAATAGTAATTGTTGGTTATTGGAATTCATTCCGTAATACCAATTATATACTTGAATATATATATATATATTTGGTATATATATATATATATATATATATATATATATATCCGAAAGCCATTGAGTTCAACAACGAGGAAACAATTGTTTGTCGCTTAAAATTATTCTCAAGCCACGTGCATTGTCAACCTTGGCTCGACTATTTTGCTTGTCATGTATAAAATGTAGTCAGGTTTATTGTATTATTCTAACACCAATTAGGTTTTTTTGATAATTCAAATTGTTTGTCGCTGACGAGTGGAAATAATTTTCTCGCAAGCAGTGTTGTGGTTATTTTAAGATGTTGTTCGTTAACTTCATTATTAAGTGCTTTATTTATTTTCGATTGTTATTATTACGTTACTCTGATCTAATAACAACAAAAACAATCAATAATAAAGTTAACGAACCGTTAAATGTTAATGAATACATACACTAATAAAATATATTTTATTACTTAAATGTTATTTTTAGTAGATACTCTTACAGTATATTTTTTCTTCTACCGGCTTGAATATTCGAGAAATCTTCTGAAAGAAAAATACGGGTTCTCTAGTAGGATTCGAACCTGCGTTCCCCTAGGGGAAAACCCTCAGTGGATGTGATTCGCTATCCCCTGTCGATGGGCAAGCACCGTTGAGTACCTTTAAGACATATCGGAGCAGTTTCGTATCCTAACGTAAACAAAGTAATTTCGAAAGAAATGGGATAGAATTTTTTATTTATTAATCCGACAATTTTTTTATTACTTAAACGTTATTTTTAGTGGATACTCGTGTTTTAGTAGACGGCCCGTTTAACAGTATATTTATTTTCGTCTAAACATCTGTCAGATTAATAAACGAAAAATCCCTCCCTTACTTTATGTAATGTAATGTAATGAAATATAAGATAATATTATTACTAATAGCGATCAAAGAATGAAAATAAGAATATCGACAATGAACAACAGTTAAAATTAACATAGGTATCACACAAATATCGACATCTCCAGTTGTCTTAATCTATCCACTATCCTACTCCTCATCCATTCCTCTATTACTCCTATCTACTCTCGCTCCAAATCCTCTGTAATCCCTTGCGGGCTAGTGGCTTCCAGCCTTGCTTGGGGTGAAATGCTTTAAGAAAAAAAATACATCATTATAAAAAGTATATAAAAAACTTTTCAAGGGAGATTACTCCTACATATATTTATTAAGTTCTCTCCCTTGTATAAAGACACTGTAATTTATTGTGATATTTCTTAAGTTTTGGAGAGCACAATGAGAAATGTCGCTAAAAGAATTGTTTCCGAATTCCTGCAAGACAGGCTATTTGCAAAATTCAGCATTAGGTATCTTCAATTATTTATTTATTTATTGTGGCTTGAATACCGACCTTTGACACAGGCGAGAAAATATATATCTACCTCAGTTTACAAGAATAGCCATGACTTACAACAATTCCATCCATTTCTGGAGAATCTGCAAGGAAAGCCAACCCCCCCCTAACCAAAACAAAAAAGTTATAGGCTGGTGAGGCCGTACATCAACCTTTTTAATACCATTTATCAGATTCTAAAGTGGTCTGCTAAACCAGAACTGGAGGGTTTAAATCAGATGCTAAATTTTAAAGGTTCATTATCACACACACATACACACACACACACACACACACACACACACACACACACACACACACACACACACACACACACACACACACACACACACACACATATATATATATATATATATATATGTATATGTATGAAAAAATTTCTCAGAGTTAACCTGTAGAAAAAGACGTTATTTATATATGCAAAAGACAATAGGAAAACTGTAATAGTTGTCGACGCGGTAATATTTAATAAAATATAAAATAAATTTTCATTACTGTTCCCCACAATATATTTCAGAAACAAGTAGAAATTAAAAAAAAAAAAACGCATTTATGAGCACAAAAGAGACCTCACAAAAAACAACTTAGCTAATGCACTAGTCATACATAGAAATAAATTCAATCACAATTTTGATTTTAGAAATGCTACACTCATAAAAAGAAAATAACTCACTCAGAAAGAAGATCCTCGAATGTGCTGCCATTGAATATTACCCAAATATTAATCAACGCCCAGGCCTTTTCCCTATTCCACCTTTCTTAATAGAATTACTTCTCTCCCAAACAAACATACAGAACAGTATCAAGAAGTCAAAAGAAAATGGTTGAATCCGTCAATACAGCAATAAAAACAATATCTCCACACGTGACAGTAATTGACATAATTTTCGGTTAACAGTATGAAAATAGCGTTCTGTAAATTCTTCCCATTGTTAAGGACATTTTGTTTTGTTATTATTAGTTACTTTGTTTAATAAATTCATTTCGTTTTTGCCTTGAAAAAATCCACATCGGACGAAACGCGTCGGCAACTATTACAGTTTTCCTATTGTCTTTTACATTTATATATATATATATATATATATATATATATATATATATATATATATATATATATATATATCGAGTGTAACAGCAAAATTATTCAAACAGTGTAAAAAAGATAATTATCCAACCTACAAAATGTTTAATATCTAAAAAAACTACTAAACTATTTGAGTTTCTTTTTTCCAGAAATATAAGGCGTTTAGCAATCTTGACCTCATTTTTCGTAAGAATCAGTGAAAAACCCTTTGAGTTATTCAGCCAAAAAGAGAGCAGGTTAAAATAGTTTTGTGTCAGATCTGACTGAGCAATGGTGAGAGGAAAAAGATCATTCAGGCCTTCAGTAATGGTACCAACAGTCATATTCTGTCTTCCATCTTCAAAGCCCATTCAAGAACCATTAAGAAAATGGTGAATAAGTTTAAAAAGAAGGGAACAGTAAAGAGGAAAACTGGATCAGGAGGTCACAAGAAGAGAGATTATCATTTCAACTTAGAGCTAAAGAGATCAATTAGAAAAGATCCAACTCAATTCGTAAGGTGTTTGGCATGTGTGAGAAGTTTCAGCTATGATAATCCAAAGAGCAGTGAAATAAGACTTGAAACGTGTGAAAAAGAAAGGAACCCCTGTAAATAAAGATGGCATTTATCGTCTGGACAGCTTGATGACAGATCTAATATTGTTTTACGGAGACCTTATCTGTAAAACATTATGGTAATTTACGCACGCACGCATGGACTCTCCCAGATATAAATAGGAGCAGGTACTGCCTTTTGGAGAGGGACATTTGCAGCAGTCAGCTCTGACAGTCGGACCGAACATTCTTGTTGTAACACTCTCGTTTGTATATGTTTGTTTTACTGTTTTTATTAATATATCTCTTTAATTCAATTCCTCTCTTGTGTTTTTATTTCTGGCCCTAACAAGGCCACAATAAACATTTGAGAATAAAACTTTGTTTTAATCAAGTTTGGTGCTTTTTTTCATCATGGTATGATTTTTTTTCAGCGAATTATTGGAGGTGCCTAGAAAGTAAAATAATCTGAATTCAAAATCGGATACGTTTGCAGTGTAAAAAATTAGCTTTTTTTGTGAACACTGAAAGGAAACAGACGAGAAGGAAAGATAAAAATAATAAAAGCCGTTAGAGATGAAAAAAGTGTGTAGGAAAGAAAACTCTAGAAGAAAGAAAGAAAAAGTAAAACAAAAAAAAAAATGAAAAAAATATACAGCCTAAAAATACCTTTTCAAAAGTTTCGCAATAAAATTCAGGAACTATTTTAATATACCGACCTCAGACAATGAGTTGTCTCCCTTGGCTGTAGGCACAACCAAAAAGTTACGCATCCTGTAACATATCAAGCAGAACGATATGAGATTAAGTTAGCGACGTCCATCACTTTCTTGACCTCTGTGTGCAGCCTACGGGCATCAGACAAGCAAATGGCCAGAATATGCACGGACATTGTTGCTATCCAATTACTTACATGCATTATTCATGAGAAGAACAGAAATATTCGAACTTCTTTAATATTTGGAACTAAGAAAGTAATATCCCTTGAGGCATTTAGCCGTTTGCAAAGATCAAAATTCACGATTAGTGAAATGAAAATATGAACGAATAAATAATCATTTGATAGATTTAATATCTTATTGAATATTGTTATTCTAACTGCCCCAGCCTGGCTGTCTGCTTGCCTATCTATCTATCTATCTATCTATCTATTAGTCTGTTTATATCTATCTATCTATCTATCTATCTATCTATCTATCTATCTATCTATCTATTAGTCTGTTTATATCTATCTATCTATCTATCTATCTATCTATCTATCTATCTATTAGTCTGTTTATATCTATCTATCTATCTATCTATCTATCTATCTATCTATCTATCTATCCACACTCACACGCACACACGCGCACACACACACACACACACACACACACACACAAAAATACTCTATAATTCGTATACACATATGCGTTCTGACATTTTCATTAAGTTCTCTCGAGTACGCAAGCCGGTCGACGAAATAAATATTTTAAAATAAAGTCGAATACACACTAAAAATAACATTTTAAGTAATAAAAACATGTCGGATTAAAAAAAAAATCTTTTAATTCTTTAGATTGTTTGATATATATATATATATATATATATATAGCTCCATTAGGAACCGTTTAAACAGACACGGAAACCTACCAACCTCTGTCATACTTGTGTAAAATACGGCCATAATAACCTCATTGACATGCAAAATCGGTTAAAAATAATGGCAGTATTAATAAAAAGCGTAGAAGTCAACTTTCAATAATATAAACCATGAAGACGGCCAAAACCTGCTGACCCTGTTCGGAAATATATATATATATATATATATATATATATATATATATATATATATATATATATATAAGCAGCATATTTTCATTCAAGCATGTTTGGTTAAATAATTTAGACGTATTATGACTACTTATTTTATTTTTAATCCTTCAAAGTCCACGAATTAATTTCTTTGAGGCTGTAAAAAACTGACCAAGAAAAATACCAAAATTATATTTAAAATAATTTTTATTTACCAAATTACTTTCAATCTTATCTGAAACCATGATCAGCAGTTGCATATCGATGCATGGGTTATACATTAACACTGTAAATTCAAAATATTTTCCATCGTTATGCATGGGGGAATTTTTAAAAGATTTTTTAATTGAAGTATTTTAGTATCTGTCTATATTTCTGATATGAGGTATTATGTACACTATTTACATCATTCGGACTATTGTCCTCGTCTTTGTCGCCATACTTATTACAACGTTTCGGCCCTTCAGTATCTGTTTATATTTCTGAGATGAGGTATTATATACACTATTTACATTATTCGGACTATTGTCCTCATCTTTGTCGCCATACTTATTACAACGTTTCGGCCCTTTAGTATCTGTCTATATTTCTGAGATGAGGTATTATGTACACTATTTACATTATTCGGACTATTGTCCTCATCTTTGACTATTGAACGTTTCCTCATCTTTCTATATTTCGCCATATTTATTATTTATTCGGAACGTTCATCTTTGTCCCATTCAACGTTTCTGTCTGTCTATATTTCTGAGATGAGGTATTATGTACACTATTTACATTATTCGGACTATTGTCCTCATCTTTGTCGCCATACTTATTACAACGTTTCAGCCCTTCAGTATCTGTCTATATTTCTGAGATGAGGTATTATGTACACTATTTACATTATTCGGACTATTGGCCTCATCTTTGTCGCCATACTTATTACAACGTTTCAGCCCTTCAGTATCTGTCTATATTTCTGAGATGAGGTATTATGTACACTATTTACCTTGTTCGGACTATTGTCCTCATCTTTGTCGCCATATTTATCACAACGTTTCGGCCCTTCAGTATCTGTCTATATTTCTGAGATGAGGTATTATGTACACTGTTTAACTCATTCGGACTATTGTCCTCATCTTTGTCGCCATATTTATTACAACGTTTCGGCCCTTCAGTATCTGTCTATATTTCTGAGATGAGGTATTATGTACACTATTTACATTGTTCGGACTATTGTCCTCATCTTTGTCGCCATATTTATTACAACGTTTCGGCCCTTCAGTATCTGTCTATATTTATGAGATGAGGTATTATGTACACTATTTACATTATTCGGACTATTGTCCTCATCTTTGTCGCCATATTTATCCCAACGTTTGGACCGTTGTACGCTCCTTCAGACTTATGAGTTCAGTACCTGCTAAAGGCCGTGGAGGACTTTGAGAGGGGAATTAACAAGAGATAACTGATAACTGACATTCATTAGATGTGGCACGTGGAACTAGAACAGCCTACACCAGTGAGTGAAATAAATGGTTCAGTTCAACATTCCTACCATCTAAAGAAGGCTGGCGCATACAGCGGCTGAAATGTTGTGATAAATGTGCCAAGAAAGATGAGGACAATAATCCGAATAATGTAAATTGTGTAGTATTTTAATTTAGTATTTTTTATATAACACTTTGCTGCTACAAATATTTAATATCTTTGTTGCGATACTCGTAATAGAACTTATTTATTTTTGGCCGTAATTCTCTCATATAAAAGGGCTTCCAGAATTTTAAGTTTTTGCTTATTATTATCTTGATAGAGCACTGATTTATTTTCAACTAATATCTACCTAAACTTTGAATGTGGAAATGGGTATTCCTTTTAATGTTCTGAGATTGAACTATGATCGTTCAAGTAAAACGTAAGCCTTCTTGTCATCTTTGTTGTTGTAACACCAACACACACACACACACACACACACACACACACACACACACACACACACACACACACACACACATATATATATATATATATATATTCAGTTAAAAATCCTTGATTATGGCTAATAGATTTGCTGAAAAAATTTGCTTATGTCCAGAAAAGAAACATTTGCATGAATGTTAGAAAAATTTAATGAAAAGGTTAATGGCAGTGGCTTGGCAATAGTCTTCAATACCTCCCCACCATATATATATATATATATATATATATATATATATATATATATATATATATATATATATATATATATATATTGTATTCATGTATTCTTCTCTGTCAGCGGTCAGATTTTAAACCTAGGGCTTTTCAGCTTTGAAAATTGGCGCAACTCAATCATTTTATTTCAATTTCTCCGCATTTATCACCATTTAAACGAATTCGTCTTTCTTTCTTTCTTTCTTTCTTTCTTTCTTTTTCACTCTGTTCTTTCTCCCTCTGTCTCAATTTGATAAACAGAAAAAAATATCCCAGGTGCATGCGCACAGCGTCGTCTAGTTTGGTTGGCTTCAATTTCAAAGGTTTCGCACCTTTGGGTAAAGATAATTAAAAAGCATCTTGAAATTGGCACAAGCCAATGCCTAAACTACTTAACCGCCAATTTTGGATTCATAATATATTTTTATATGCAAAGAAAGTAATCAGTTTATATCCACATTATATATATATATATATATATATATATATATATATATATATATATATATATATGTGTGTGTGTGTGTGTGCGTGTGTGTGTGTGCGCGCGCGTGTGTATCTTTTGTACGTTTGTGTCTGTGGCGTACATATTTGGATTTATTTATTGACAATTGTTGGTCTTGGTCCGATGGAATGATAGCTAAAAACATCCCCACCCGCAAGTTTCGAGACAAATCGTACAAAGGCATGCTGGAGTGTTTTCCTCACTGTTGTGACCTTGTTAGCGGCCATAAATAAAGACACAAAGAGAGGAATTGAGTTAAACAAATATATTCACAGAAACAGTAATACAAACATATACAAACGAAAGTGTTGCAGCAAGAATGTTCGGTCCGACTGTCAGAGCTGACTGCTGTAAACTTCCCTCTTCAAAAGGCAATACCTGCTCCTATTTATAGCTGGGAGAGTCCATGCGTGCGTGGGTAAATTACCATAACACTAACCAATCAAAATGGACCACATTTCCGTTTCATCCGCCATTTTGTTTGCCTTTCCTTGTCTCCAAGTCAGTTTTGCTTGTTAAAACCATTCTTACCTTGTGAACTTTTTGCCTTATTACCGTTGCCTTGTTTGATCTTGACTTATTTTGCCTGTTAATTTAATTTCTTATTGTTTATAGGAAACTTTGTCAGTTGAGTTTGTGGCGCATTTTTGTAAACTACATTAAATCATAGCCAGTTACTGCACAGAAATAATTAATATTTTGTTCATATATATATATATATATATATATATATATATATATATATAGGGTGCGATGGGTAAATGGCCGCCATTTTATATTCTAAATTTCGCGCATGCGCGTGGCTCGTTTTGGATTTGTTGCGCAGTATAGTACGATAAGTTGGGTACCATCTGTGAGAACAAAAGCACCATGACACAATTCACTCCGCTAGAAATTTGGAAACGGCATTCTGTACTGCTTGGCATTCGCGCCAGAATCTACAATATGAAGATTTCAGAGTGTTTGGGTGTCAGTCTGAGGATAGTGGAGAGGATCCGGAAAGAGTTGGATAAGTCTAATGGTGATTACGAAGGTGTTTGGTGTGATCATGATTGATGGAAACGTTATGCCTCCATTCATCTTCCCACAGGGGCACATTCAACACGGAAGCCTACATCAAGTGTCTTGAGGAGGTAGTGTTGCCTTGGGCCAAGAGGGTGGCTGATGGAAAACATTATGTCTGGTAACAGGACTCTACACCATACCACACAAGCAGGAGAACCTAGTCATGGCTGATAGATAATTTTCTTTGACCACATCACACCTTACATCTGGTCACATAACTGCACAGACAACAACTCCCTTGATTATTATGTGTGGGGCGCAATTGAACGAGAGACCATCAAAACTCCTTGTAACACGAAAGATGAACTGAAGCCAAAGATTATGGCAGCATTCACTAACTTAAACAAGAAGACCATCCAGAAGAGTTGCATGAGATTCCGAAGTCGTCTGGAGGCCGTGATTTAAGCCGATGGTGATTTTATTAAATAAATTAACTCTTTAGTATTTCAAGATATTTTTGTGTAATTTTGGTGAATATATCTGTTAAAATGAGATGTCTGCATTATTTTTAATATTGCATAATTTAGACGACAATTTGTCCATCGAACCCTATATGTGTGTGTGTGTGTCAAAGTTCAGATATAACTAAAAATATACACGTAAAAAGATAATATGAAAAAAACTACAAGCAAACTTATCTTAACAGATGCGTTTCATCCTCTTTGCAACAAATATAAATTGTTCCAAATTGAAATTTAAAATATCTCTCGTCCCTCGCATGTGTAGTCACATCAACGTAAACGTAAAGTTAGCCTGATGAAGTCCTAAAGGTCGAAACGCGACACACGAAAATTTTTATCCACTTTGTTATACTTCTTTCCCCTAAAATTGTTCTTGATATATAAAAATAATTATATATCGTTATCCCCTATATATATATATATATATATATATATATATATATATACACAAAGAAAAAACTACTACTAAGACATTACACTATATTATTGAACTATATACTTAGTTCATGACATAAAAACTGAATACACTTGTAAAAATAGAATACGTGGATTTAACACATCACAAGAAATATTTAAATAAAATTCTCACTTAAAATTTAGCGTTGCGTCTTTGCACGTTCCGAGATCTTACACAACCGTCAATAATAGCAGATATTCAAAAAACATCTTTCGGTCGACATACAGGTATATCGTCTTCAAGTTTTTGATTTTATAAGGAAAAAA